TAAGAATATAATAATAACAACAATATCAGTATGTAATAAGTAATGATATTGTGTAAATTAAATATAAAAAATACAATAGTTTGGGCCTATAAAAATAATTTTTGTCCAAAGTGTTTTGGCAATTTCGGCTACTAAGAGAGATAGTTTCAACCAGAAACCTTAATCACCACTAAGCAGAGTTTCTTTTTCATCATAATCAATGTTTTCTAACTCCGTAACTACTACTTGGATTGCAACAGATCCTTGGTTTTGTTCCACTTCCTCCTCTACTTCTTTTTCATTATCATCATTGCCAATATGTTTTTTCCATTAATAGTTGGTTGTTACATTACCATCATTAGCATAGTAAGACACTGTTGATGATCACAAAAACAACTATTTCATTGGCCAAATTTTTGTCGATCTTATTCCAAATGTGTGATACCATTTTAACTTTTAATTTGACTTTTGACCCCTCATGTTGAAATGCTTCAACTTTTAGGTTTTAGTTTTGACTTTATGTATAGCCAAAGAAAGTAAAAATAAATAAATAAATAAATAAATAACTTATAAAATCATTTGCTTGCTAAATGGAGGTTGTGGAAAAAAGATAATGTTATATTAAATATTTTCATTTATTGTTTAGTGTTAATTATTTGGACATATAATTTTCATCATCATCTGTCAATCAATCACCTTCAATAGACAATATTGTAAACATTCCAATGTTTAAACGGTTTATTTAAATGAATTAAGTAATTTAATTATTGTAAAATTACAAGTTATCTTTATTAACTTAAATTGATGTCCTTTTTATAAGAAATACATAAGATTGATAAATATAAATAATAATATAAGCTTAATAAAAAATAATTATACAAATATTATAAATAAATTATATTTTCTATTCCAATATTTATATATGGGGCATACTGCAACAAAACCAGACAAAGTGAACATTGGTATTACCAAAGATTTCAGGGATCAATATTGTTTGTTTAACGTCACAATTGTATTACCAATGTAATGTGATCATGATATTCATCTAGACAAAAATAGTTAATATGAAACTCA